TCATTTGCTAATAATTCTGTTTTAGTCAATTTTTGTCCTCACTCAATTAAAAATTAAAACAATCTCTAAACTAAGTATCTCCACTTGACAAGAATGACCCTTTTGTCTCCCTCCACCCCCGAATCCTCTCAATCTTGGCGGCGACTACTCCCAGCTTTCCCTCTCCGACAGTTGGAGTATAAAGGTTTGGGGAACTGTAAAGTTGGAATATTACCACGATGTGGTGACATTGTCGGAAGCCACAATCCTGATTTTGCTCATCGCCATCGTCATCTCCGTCGTCACCCTCAAGTGCGCCATTCGCTACTTCCTAAAAGACGGTGTCCACGGGAATAGCTGGAGGAGCTGGGAGCAAAGAAGGCATCAATGTCTCTCCAAGTGCGTTCTTCTCCTCGTATAACTGACTCTATCCGGCAGAATCATGTGTTGTTGTTCCTCCGCTGAACACCAATTCTCATCAAAATCCGCAAATTCAGTCGACACTGGATCTAAAACCTTAACTGCTAGCTCCAACATTGGGGACGAAAACTCATTATTTTTTAACTAAATCAGGTATATGTGCATTAACAATAAGCATTCCAGTTTCACCTTGCTGAATTCCTCCGCGAACAGTGAGATTAAATAGAGCATCAAAGAAAAACTTTCTAGATTCCATTTTTCTCGATCAGGCTACAAGGGGAACATAGAGTCCACAGTGGGCAAGGAGATTTGGGACATAGTGGCGGTGAAAGATGAGGAAAACGGGTTCTGGGTGATGAGAGAGTAGGAATGGCGTGACTAGCATCTCCTGATTTGGGTATAGGAAGATAGGTTTAGTTTTCATCTTTATTTTATTTTATTTTATTTTATTTTATTGGTAGAAGACAAACGCCAAGGCCTCTTAGATCACATTAATGATTGAACATTCATGGGTAACCCCCATTACATCATACATAATCCAGTATTGGAGACCTAGATTGCACTCATCGATAGGATGTGCCAAAATCAAGGCTGTGTTCTTTACAAGCAAGGAAGTCAGCCTCAAAATTACATTCCCTGAAGGTGTGGGATATAGAAACCTCCCAGTCAAGATCCAGCAGTAGATTGACGGCCAAGGCTGAGATTCCATGACTGTGATTCAAGTCATTCATGTTTTGAATTATGCTAATGATAGTAGTTGAGTGGGTGAAGAGGCAGACTTTCCTGTATCCCAACTCCCACGCAAGGGTAAGTTCTGTTTCCACCGCCTTCAGTTCCTCTCTAGTGATGGAGCATGTGCCCAAGTTGATCGAGAATGCCTTGTGGCATCTGCCAGTGTGGTCTCTGTTTAGTCCACCCGCTGCCACCTTGTTTCTTGTTTTCACTGATCCATTAGTGTTGATCTTCATCTATCCTTCTCTTAGTGGACTCCATCCAAGGTTACAAGTCGTCTTCTTGCGTTGTTGTCCTTCCTCCAGTTTTCTATCATAATCTTGAGCATTCCTCACATTATTGAAGTACCGAAGGATCCTATGGAGGAGGTTGTTCTCGTTATAGATCTTCCCCTCCATCGCTTCCTCATTCCTTTGCTTCCAGATGTGCCACATAATGATGCCAAAGTCAGTTCCTCTTTCACCATCTGTGAGGTTGCTATGGAGCCAGTGCCTGAATTTAGTACTCTGGTTTTGCATTGAAACAGAGTGTCTCAGTCTTCTCCATAACTCCTTGGTCTTCCAACAGTGCCTAAGAATGTGCTCTGCAGTTTCCTCTGTGCCTTTGCAGTGCTTGCAGTTGACGTCGCTTGTAAGTTTCCTCTGGGACCCTACCATCTCCAAAGTTGTTTCCACTCTTTGTTTCCTATCAAGTCCAGCTTTCTGTCCACTAGTTTGTAGGCCTATTTCAAACGAAATCTCCCATCCGGTTCAACTCTCCAGATTGTTGTGTCCTCTCCAATGTTCTGCTTTGGTGTTTCAGTACCTACAAGGAGAGATATAATATTATCAAGTAGGATTCCATTCAGTCTCTCCCAATCCCAAGTTCCAGAGGAATTCACCCAATTGCACACTAGTTCCTTCCTTTCTTCAACAGTGATGCTGGACAGAAGGAATTCCTCCAGTATAAGTCCCTCTTTAATCCAAGGGTGACACCAAAAGCTGGTTGATCTTCCATCTCTACACTCCAGTATGCAACTGATTTCATGATTGGCATCGCTATCAGGATTCCCTTCCATAATGGTGATTGGTTACTAGTCTTCATGGTGGTGATGCTTCCCTTCTTATGCCTAAAATACTTCTTCTGCAGCACCTGCACCCAGAGAGACTGCTCATCATTAAACATCTGCCAGACTAACTTAACCAAAAATGCCATGTTTAAGTTCCTAGCAGATCTAACTCCCAATCCCCCTTGATCCTTTGGTTTACACACATGATCCTAGTGAACAAGATAGACCTTTCTCTTGCCAATGCCATCCTTGTACCCCCAGATGAAAGTCCTAATTTTCTTATCAATTTCGTCACACACAGACAGAGGAAGGACAGAAGTTTGCATGGCATAAACAGCGATAGCATTAAGCACAACACATGCGAGGGTGGCTCTACTAGCTAAAGACAAGGTTCTAGCCTTCCAAGGGTTGAGCTTCATGTCAATATTCTTAAGAATGTATCTATAGGTGTTCCTAATGATTCTACCATGGACAATTGGGAATCCTAGATACTTTCCTATATCAGAGGTACTTTGTATCCCAAGTCTATTGCAAATACAATTTCTATCAAAACTTCTAACATTTTTAAAGAAGAACACTCTCGACTTTTCTTTGCTAATGAGTTCACCTGAGGCATCACAGAAGCTTTGGATGCACTTCATGACGACCTCAGATACTTGACATGTACCTCCTCTTCCAGGTCCATCGCAAGGGAAGCAAAAACCAAGATTTGCTTTATCCGGTATCAAACGAGAGCTGCGGGCAAATAGAACTTGCTTAGTGTTAGCTTCAGCAAAGATGACAAGGTCATCAGCAAAGAAGAGGTAGGATAACTTAGAGCCAATCTCGTGAGAGTTTAAGAGGTTTTCATCTACCTTCCCTAACTTCTTTAAGAATGCAATGCCCTGAATGTTTAATACATAAAGTAAAGAGGTAGGGTGATAGTGGACATTCCTGTCTCAGCCCTCTGCTGGGGGTAAACTTCTCAGTTTCTCCTCCATTCCATAGGACCTGCATCTCATTATCATCCTCACTCCTTCCTCTGGAATACCAATAGCCCCCAAAGTATCCTCCAAGAACTCCCAGTCCAAGCAATCCTAGGCCTTTGCATGGTCAATCTTGAGCAGCATTGCTCCTTTCTTCCTTGTCTTCTTTGACATTGAATGGACTAATTCCTGCAAGATCAAAATGTTGTTAGTAATGTGTCTATAAGGGACAAAAGTAGATTGATTAGGCTTAACCAGATGGTTCATAAGAGGTTTTAATCTGTCAGCTAGGCACTTAGCCACCACTTTATAGGAGACATTGCATAGGCTATTCGGCCTGAATCGGCCTAAATTGGCTCATGGAGTGGGGGGGATTCCACTTTTGGGATCAGAAAGCAAAAAATCTGGTAAAGTATGCTCCAATCACTTCTCAACATCTCTGGTAGAAGATGGCATGGAATCCATCCTTCCCAAGAGCTTTAAGCCCATTTATCCTTGTCACTATGTTCCTAACTTCCTCAAGGCTTGGTGGTCTGGTGAAGTCATTAAGTGCACTCTCCTCCAGTTCTGGGAACTGTGCTATCACTTTGGTTTGTTTTCCCCCATTCGGCTTAGTGTAGAGATGCACATAGAACTCTCTAGCCATCATCTGAAGGGATTCTGGATCCACAATCCATTGGTTGAGATCATTCTTCAAGCCTTTGATTTTATTTCTTCTTCTTACGGAGAGGGTGCTTGAGTGAAAAAAATCTTGTATTCTGATCTCCTTATTTGATATGCTTGGCTCGCGACTATTGTAGCCACAAGACTTCTTCCTGCCAAAGGGTGTCTTCAAATTCCTCCCTAACATTCTGCTCTGCAACCAGAGATTGGTGGCTCGGACTTCTGACATTCCTTCACTCTAGATTACACAGTTTGTTAAGAAGAGTCTTCTTCCTCTTGAAGATGTTCCCAAACGTCTCTTTAGTCCACTCTTTCAGCTTATATGTGAATTCCTGCTAAGAAGGGAGAAAATCATGACCATTTCCCCATGAATCAGAGAGAAGGAAAGAAATCCTCATGAACAAGCCATGGGGCCAAGAACTGGAATCTCCTCACCACATTGTTTCTGTCCACAGGTCCCTCACTGCAAGTCATGATAGGCCTGTGATCTGATCTAATCTTGGTCAGGTGATAGTTGATGGTTTCTGGGAACTTTCTTTTCCAAGCCTCATTGCAAAGGCTTCCATCAAGCCTTTCTTTAAGGGTTGATTTGCTCTTGAACCAAGTGAAACCAGGCCCTGAGAAGTCCAAAACCAGTAGTCCACTCTCATCGATGCAGGTTTTGAAAGCTCTAGTTCGTGCAGGGTTGAAGCTTGCTCCTGCCTGCGTTTCTGAGGAGTTTGTGGTGGAGTTGAAGTCTCCAATAAGCAACCACGACATTTTGATCTGCTTGCTCCTGATATTAATAGCTTTCCACAGGTAAGTTCTCTTAAACTCATTAGGGTTGGCATAAATAGCAGTGAGGTAGTAGACCAGGTTGCCCTCCACAAAACACTAGAGGTGAATAAACTGCCTCTCTGTGTCCAAAACTTCCAACAAGAAATTCTCCTTGTTGTAGAGAACCCAGATCCCTCCGCTGAAACCATTCGCATCAGAGACCTCCCAGGAGTCATATCCCAGTGATTCAATGACTTCATTGGCTTCCTTCCCACTTATATTTGGTTCAATAATACACACAATATTCGACTTGAAGTTAGCCTTGTAAAAATCAAAAGACGATCTATACTTGGGGTGTATTGCCCCCTGCAATTCCTGGAAAAACCATAAACATGACAGTATTGAAGGTTTTCCTGTAGTATCACAGGGCAGTGAAATCAGCAGGAATCAACGACCATAGCTGTCTTTTTCCCCATAGTATCTCCTCCTCCTATCGACATACCACAAGTCTGGTCATTCTCTGGTCCAGTTTGATCTTCCATCATCTGTTCATCAAAGTCAATCTTCCTGGCGTGAGGCTCCCCTTTATAAGGAGGCTTGCCCTTGGCTTCCTTCATAATTTCCTTCCCCTTTCTGGACATGACTGCTTTGGATTTAGGAGTACAATTCTTCTCCTTCTCCAAGTTAGCATTCTCTTTCTCACGTTTAGCTTTGCCCCCTTGGCTTTTGAGCGTGCGCACTTCCTTGGTCATCCGCTGAGTGGTTTCATTTTGTTTCCTTGGAGGTTCCCTTCCATCTGCCTTCTTTTAGGTAGTCTCCTTAGAGACTGCTTGGGTGGTAGATGATATTGAGGCAGGTTTGGCTTTCTGATTTGGGTTTGCCAGGGGCGTCTTTTGAGTCTCTTTCTTCGTCTGAGTATTTTACTTCTTCTCTTTCATTTGATGTGTCATATGTCTGCTTCTGTCATCACCAATTTTTCCTTCCATTCCATTAAGGTGCTCTCTCTAAATTCATTCTTGCATTGCATCTTCCTTATCCTCCTCCCTCAACTGTTGTGTCTGTTCTTTCTCGCCAACATTCTCCTCTTCTTGCAATTCATCCCTAAGAACCCCAAATCTTGATCGCCCATTAGAAATATTCTTGCTTGTTCCCCTGCTATTCTCCACCTGTTTCTGCCCCACTTTCTTCATGTTTTGTGGAGGCATTCTACCGGTCTAGAGGCAATCATCCAGGGACCGAAATCTAGGACGAAGTCCACTATCTTTCATCCCAGATTGCCCTGCAGTGTTCCCCTTATCTTCCTCTTGTGCTTCTTTAGATTGGTCCCTCTTTCTTCCTGGACAAGCATCCTGAGAATGGTCATATTTTCCGCAATCAAAGCAGATATCATAGAGCCCTTCGGACTCGTCTCTTTAATCTATACTTCGATACAAAACGCTTGCAAATGTCAATTTCCACACACAAGCTCGCGTAATTTCCAATGAAACCATTCACCATATTATAATCAATCTTCTCAATCCTACCAAGCTTGTTCCCAATGTCCGTAACAATATCCTCATCAAAGTAAGCAAGAGTTAGTCTTGGGGGTCTTACCCACACACTCATCCTGTTGATAGAGTCAAAATCCGGGTCAAAATCCAGGCGCTATGGTTCAGAGATGATGTAGTGTTTAACGATACTCCACGGGCCTCCATACAAAGCTCTGTCATGATCCAATTGTGTGTCAAAGATCGTCTGGAAGAATCCATTACCTATATCCCAAATTCTTACTTTGCCCGTCTTCGCCGACATGTTTCGCACTCGCTTGTGAACATAAGGAAAGGAGAATTGTTTCTCTAGCACTTTAAACGTGATTTCTCTGTTCCATCTGTATCGAATTCGTTTATCTGTCTTCTTCTTCACGCTGATGGTTGGGCAATCTGGATCGTCATCTTCTCCCTCCCTGTTAGACTCGTCCGACATTAGGTCTTCACCATTCGGAATCTCCGGCGTAGGTGTGTTTCCCATATTTGAATCTTTATAGGATCCTCGATGTGCTTCCGGCTACGGTCTCCCTGGCATCGGCGATTGCTAACTTGCAGCCCCCGCACTATCCAAGCTCATATCAGCCTCTTCATTTTGGTATAGGGTGTCGTTCGCGGTAACCACAGCGTATTCCATCGCCCGCTCTCCTGCGAAACCTTCACTGGTAGAACACTTCGATTTCTTGTTGGGTTGTACAGGTGTGCTCATCGGTGATCCGTCCGGCGGCTTCAAGTTGTGGCAGATGGGCTCTGGCTGCGCCACGGGGATCTCCATTTTTTTCCGCCCGTTGGAGGAGAGAGGGCAGATAACACTCTCTCTCTAACACTTACTGATTGTGCTGCAGACATCTTTATTTTATTATTAACAGAGATGGAGATGTAAATTAATATGATAAAACAAAAAATTATTAAGTGAAAATAAGTCATTTCCTCACCCTCTTAACACAGAGTTAATAGAAAATAAGTGAAAATAAATCAAACCACAATAAGTCTCGCCAAATTTTATCTTTCTCTCTCTAGAATCGTAGTCATAGCAGTAGCACAAATGACCCTCCAAGGAGGCTTCTCTGTAGTTGTAGTCACTAGCTGTGGAGCTCTCAAGTAATTTCCATACGAGTAGAGGTAACAGTAAATAGACCTTTGGATGTATCCATCGAACACCCTCGTTCGAACAATGTTTGAAGATGTGTGAACCGAGTAACATCATTTTCTGTTTTCTTGAAGTTAGGGTGCATTGATCACGCGAAATTCCACCTAAAACACGGCGAAAACTCGTTATGTTCTAACTAAATCAGGTATGTGTGCATTGACAATATGCATTTCGGTTTCGCCATGCCGAATTCCTTCGCGAATAGTCAGATTAATTAGAGCATCACAGAAAAAACTTCCTGGATTCCATTTTTCTTGATCAGGCTTCAAGGGGATCATGGAGTCGACAGTGGGCAAGGAAATTTGGGACATAGTGGCGGTAAAAGATGAGGAAGAAGGGGTTTTGGGTGATGAGGGAGTAGGAATGGCGGGATTTTCTTCTTCAGAGTTGGGTATAGGAAAATAGGTTTAATTTTCATCTTTATTTTATTATCAACAGAGATGGATATGTAAATTAAAAGGTTTAATAGTATAAATTGCCCCTCTACTATTACTATTTCTCAAATGTGCCCCTATACTAATTTTCATGTTAAGTATGCCCTTCTACTATTCTCATGTTCTAAATGTACCCTACTGTTAAGTTTTTCAAAGTTAAAATTTTACCCTCCACATAGTTTTAAACAATGTAGTCAAAAGCGAGTTTCTATGTAGAAACATTTTGATGATCTAGAAGCGTATAATCGTAAGTTTTTAAGTTTTAAAGCGTAGTTTTTAACTACATGAGTTATAAAAACTGAGATTTTGTGTAGAAGCGTTTTAGTGACCTAAAAACAAAAAATTGTAAGTTTATAAGTTTTAAAGCGCGATTTTGACTAAATTGGTTTTAAAAGTTAAAATTGGAATAACAATAACAAAATAAATCATCAGCCTCGCCACCCGCGTTTGAGGGTCTTTCCCTCCACCCTCTCTAGCGTCGCCATGGAGACTAGAGCTATGAACAAGCTCTTCAACTGGTCAGCCCCAATTTGAAATTCTCAAACCTATGATAGTAATGCTTTTGGTTACCATCACAGATCACAATCTTGCCCCCACCGTCGTGTCGTTATTAGCTCTCCCATTCTGTCAATTCTTCGCCCCTAGACTCAATGAACAAAGATAAATCAACCCCCGAGCAAAATCGATGACGAGTTTCCATGAGTAGGCGGCGGGGATTAGAAGGAAGGAGAAGGCCACAACAGAGGCGGAGCTAGGATTTCGAGACCGGGGGGCCGAAAATAATTAAGCAAAATGTATGTGGTCAAGGTGGATTGAACTAATGTGCTTTAAAACACAAGACAAGTTTAGCTACCATTAGACCACATGACTAATACACAACAAGATTTACAGAACAAGTCTACTTAAACAATTTGTACTAAATATCCTTAAAATCCTAGGGGTCGGGACCAATCGCGGGAGCCGGGGGCCCACCCTAGGTTACATGGCGTCGCCGAGTGGAGGGAGGATGAGGACAGTGAGAGATTGTGGTGGACGACGGGAAAGATGGTGGGAATTTGAAAGGAGTACTGTTGATGTAGAAGCAAGATGGCATGATATTTAGGGAATGAGATTTAGGGTTTGGCGAACTTTTGGGTAGAGTAAGAGACGAGCAGAGGTGGGTAATTGGAATTTTCTTTAATGTTATTATTATTGATATATTTAATACTTTTCATAGGAATTTTTAGGGGTAAAACTTAAAAGTGTCATTTAATGTCAACCTAAATTTGGTTTGACCATGGTTCATGATGTTTGGACGGAAAATTTAACAAAATGGTTTGTTTCAGAACATGAAAATAGTAGAAGGGCACGTTTGAGAAAAAACGATAATAGTGGGAAAATTTTGCTATTAACCCAAATTAAAATGATAAACCAAATAAATTAGTAAGTGAAAATAAGAGGGGTAAATAAGTTATTTCCTCACCCTCTTAAAAGTGATTTAACGGAAACTTTGACAGAAGGTACAGATGTTAGATTGGGATAGCTGAAGGGTATATTTATGAAAAAATTATAAAGATGTAATTTTGGTAATTTGTAATAATAAAGAGGTATAAAATGCTCGAAAGAAGGCCCAAGGAGAAACCGAACGTGTCGAATTGAACTCTCGTTCATGGGTGGAGTTGTGCATATCACAGTTAATATATAAAAGTCTAGGTTGGAGTTACTATTTATTAGTGGCTCTCACACTCCTCCAAGTGCAAGTAAGAAAGTTCCAAGTCTTTCTTTTACCCCACTCTCCATTCTACAACCTTTATGTTTAGTTATTGTTATCTAGGTTTTCGTCTACGGCCTTTTGCACAAATCATCGCCTTTGTGTTTAGTTATTGTTTGCTAGGTTTTCGTCTATGACTTTTTGCACAAATCATCGCCTTTGCCCACTATTTTGCAGCTCATCTCGAAATACTGTCGACGAGATCCTAAATGTTCCCCACCACCGTTTTCCAAGGTCGCTACCATGAGCTTTTTTATCGGGACCGAGTTTCATCCTCTTTAGTGCTTTTTTTTTTCTTTTTCTTCTTCCTTTTTGTTCAGTAACCCAAACAAATGGGTTTCCTACCTTAAATATAAACCATCGCCTTTGTCCAACATTTTGCAGCCCATCTCGAAATACTGTCGGCGAAATCCTAAATTGTTCCCCGCTAGCGTTTCCCAAGGCCGGTACCATGAGTTTTGTATCTGAACCAAGTTTCATCCTCTTTAGTGTTTTTTTCTTTTTTTCCTTTTTGTTGATCATGATCACAATTGAACCCAAACACATGGGTATCCTAACTTGAACACAAATCATCGCCTTTGCCCACCATTTTGCAGCCTATGTCGAAATATTGCCGGCGGAATCCTAAGTTGTTCCCCACCGTATCTACTCAATGTTGGCGAGTTTTGTATCAGGACCGCGTTTCGTTTGCTTCAGTATTTTTTTCTTTCACTTTTACTTTTTTGTTGAGCAAGATCACAACTGAACCCAAATCCAAGGTTTTGATGAGTGTTATATTGTGAGTGAGCTTTAACCACTTTTGTAGTTGGCAGGTTGGAGTAAGTGTTAATTTGTTAAGAAATTGTTGAAAACTAGTTGAACACATTGTGGACCAGTTTTAGATCGAAAGCGAGTTTTGTACGCTTTAATATTTTTTTATTTCTCATTTTCCTTTTGTTAAGAATGACAATTGAATTCTGACCCATTGTTGACGCGTTTCGTATCGAGAGCGAGTTTTATCTGCTTTTATAATTTCCAGGTGGGTAAATTGTGAATTTGTTAAAACTGGATCGACCCGGTCAAAGCGAGTTGAACGTAGTGTTGAGAGTTTGGGTTCATGAGCGAGTTTAATCCGCTTTAGTATTTTTTTTTATCTTTTCCTTTTGGTTGAGAATGACAATTGAGTCCAAACGCATGGGTATACAACCTAATTCCAGCCGACCAAAGTGACTTGAACCCGATTTTCCAGGTTTTCGGCGAGAGTGAGTTTTATCTTCTTTTTTGTTTTGTTTTTTTTTTTTTTGCAATTGTCATGTTGTGTGAGGTTTGAATTTTTCCAAAACTCGGTCCAATCATGTCAAAGCAACTTGAACTTGGTGTTGACGAGTTTTGAGTCGGTAGCGAGTTTTAGCTTTAATGTTTTTCATTTGCCTTTTTTCTTTTTTTTGAGAAAGACAATTGAACTCAAATCTATGGGTATCCAACATAATTTGACTCGATCAATGCGAGTTGAACCTTCTCAAACCTGCAATTAGTCCCAAATTTTCATAAAGGAGAACCACGATTACCTCAAACCTATAATAAAAAGTCAAAAGAGTACGACTATGTTTGGTTCGAATTTTATAAGTTTAATGTTTCAAAAGTTGAAGCCAAGCCAAACACCTCTAAAGATTCGCTTTTTAAAAACTGAAGCTTTTCATAACTTAAAAGCAGAAGCTGCGATTTTAAAATACAAAATTATCCTTACCATATATTATTCTTTTTTTTCTAGAAAACATAATTTTCTTTCATTTATATCATTATAAAAAAATAAAGTGAAAATAATATTATTTAATATGAAATAAATCTAACGTGATCCATTTTAAATATTTTTTTTAATTTTTTAATTTTTATTCATATTTTATGATAGAAATATTTTTTAGTCATTTTTCATTACCCTCTTATATTAGAAAGTAAATCTCATAGTTTTTCAGCTAAACACTCAACCGTTTTTTTTTTAAATACTTATTGAAAATATCGAGAGAAGCTGCTTCATTCTGTAAAACTTACAGCAGGATCAATTATTAGCCATACAAATTGAAGCGTCATGAAAGGAGTTTAAACAGAAATAATCTATTCGACGACCCTTCTACCTTATGCAAGTTCATCGAACATATGCTATTGTAAATAACAAACCTACGAAAGGAATGATTAAGAATGAAATAAGATTAATTTCACTTTTGGGTCAACATTAAAACTATTACTCTTTGAAATATTTATTCTTCTAATACGCGAAGCGAGAGCGAGCGGGCTTTTGCAAGTAACTATTAATTAAGCTCCCAAGTTAAAGATTTCCAATGACTCCCCCAACCCACTTTCTTGGTTAAAGAGAGCTAACTCAAATCGTCAACACTCAGGGGTCGTTTGGAAGTTGGATTTCAGATGGTGTATTTAACCAATACATGTAATCAGAAGAATTCGTCATTTTTTTGTCTTAAACCAAAACATAATACTTGTATTTTAACTACAGATGAGACCACCAGAATCATTCATTATGAATGATTGCCAATCTCAGCTTTTAGCAGAGATTGTGTTTGAGGGATTGTTAACTCACTTTTTCTTCGTTATGTTTTGAAGGACCACCAAAATCATTCAATCTCCAAACAATGTATTTTTCAAATTCATACATTGAAACAATACATCTAATCAAAATATATACATTGATTAAATACATCAATTTAAAGATTCCTAACTTCCAAAGATGCGCCAATACCCAATTCGGGTTACGTCCTTTTTCAGCGCTCTCTTTTCCAAAAACAAAACGAAATGAATCCAAATGTTTGACTATCAGTCTTCTGCTGAATTCTGCCCACTTCCCAATTCCCATTTAATTAGATCCCCCGGTATCTCCAGTGTCCTTCGATCAAATCAACTATATAATAATAAGCTCCCACCAGGTCCCATCTTCGGAGCAATCTAACAAATATCTCACCTTGTAACTTTTAAATCAAGCAGAAGGCTACTTAAGGCAGCAGAAATGGAAACCGGATCAAGGGTTGCTGAGGGAGCAGTTGTATTATGCTATATAGTATTGGTGCTTTAATTTTACAACTTAAAGTTGTACCATAAGGAGCTGAACATCACATCCTGAGGGCCGACTTTGAGAAGAACCCTGCTGCCTACTTCCAGAATCTGCACAAAAAGTAGAAAAACAAGCTATCTATATCGTCTATCTAATATTCTGAAAATGGGCGACGAGATTATCATTAAATAAAGTTTAATTCTCTTCTTTTATTCCAATTTTACTGTTACGAGATCGATTTATCGTAGCATTTTGAATATGATTGTGCTTGTATTTTTGTTTATTATTTTACTTATGAATTCACATTTCATTACAATTTTGAAATATTGAGATTAATTACTATTATTATTTGTTACAGTAGGATTGATATACATTTTTAGTATTTATCTGTAATTTGATTGGGATAGGTTTCATATTTTTGGGTAGGAAAAGGATGAAAGCGGTCGCCGACCAGAAGGAAAAGGAAGAGTGCTTTAGGATTTTCCACTCTATAGATATGTAATCATTCTCTAGTTAATGGATAAGAGATTGGAACGC